CACGTTTTATTGAATAGACAGTAAATAAACTCGAAAATCACCTAAAAACGATTTTCCAGAACTACGCCGAGCAAACCAAGGGATGGATCATTCTGATGCTCCACAGTACGCTGTCGGTCGAAGAACAAGACAAGGTATTTGATCAAGCTCCGACGGGGGTTCGAAAGTGTATTCTATCCACAAACGTCGCTGAAACATCAGTGACAATAGATGGAATCAGATTTGTAATCGAATCGGGAAAAGTGAATTTGATCAAACACGAACCGGGCACTGGGACCCAGAAACTCACAGAGTTCTGGGTCAGCAAAGCATCAGCAAATCAACGAAAAGGACGTGCCGGACGTACGGGACCAGGGATCTGCTATCGGCTGTATTCCCAGGAGCAATTTGAGAAAATGGAAGACTTTACACAATCGGAAATCAATCGAGTATCGCTTCAGGAAATGTCTCTAAAGATGATTAGTCTGAATTTGGGATGTAAGATTTTATAAGATTTTTGCAGTCTATAAATATAAGACTTTCATTTTTCCAGTGGACCCTCGAACGTTCCCATTCATTGAGAAGCCTTCTGAAGACGTGCTAAATGAGGGATTGGAGATTCTGAAATTCCAACGAGTCTTAAGATCTGACAGGGATATTCTGACGCTGACAGCGCTGGGAAATATGGTTTCAAAGCTTCCGGTAGACGTTCCGATCGCAAAGATGTTGGTTTATGGATGTGTGGTGGATGAGATAGAGGTTATGCTTACTGTAGCAGCTGGCCTTTCCGTTCAATCTCCATTCACAAATCGATCCTATCGAGAGCTGGAAATTGTTGAACGGCGAGCATCGCTGACTAGCTCAATGGGCGATCCATTCACGCTAATCGCTGTTTTTCGAGAATGGGTACTCCAGAAAGCCTATGAAGGAAGTGCTAGGCGATGGACGATGGAGAATGGGATTGATGAGCATCGGTTGTATGAGATTAGTAAGCTTCGGAATCAGTATCGACAGATTCTAGAGGACGCTGGGTTGGTTGAGAAGGCGTCGGCTGCGGAGACAGGTGAAGACGATTCGAGGCAGAGGAGAATTGATCAGGGAGAGAAACGGAAGTTGTTCGATTTGAAGAGAAGTCAGAGGTAAGTGATGGTCCCGCAACGACATCTACAGTAACCTAAGAATATTTGTACTCTTCAGAAACAACGATCGCCGTCAAAAAGTGCTCAACGCCAACAAGCACTTTGACAAGATTCTAGAAGACAAAGAGGAAGAAGACCTGGAAGCGGAGATGGATCCATTGAAAGCTGATGTGAAGACAGTCGAATTTCTACTGAGTCACAAACAGCGTGACGTGGAAACGATTCGAAAATCACATAAAATCTCCAGGAGAACGGCAGAAGTGGTCAGGGTGATCATAGCAGCTGGATTGTATCCGAACTTTTCAATTCTGGATCCGGTTAATAAGTATGGGGTAAGCTTCGATTTTAGTAGGCCATTTCCCATAGTGGCCTAGAAAACTTCGGCCACCATGTTAAAATGGCCTAGAAAACGTGACATGTGAATATCAGCCCATTTCTAGGCCATTCACTAAAAACTCAACTTGCAAAAGTTAGGCCACTATACAATTTTTTCCAGTACGGCCAGGAAATGTACGCCCACACTCGCCTGAAACCCTTCACTCAAATCCATCCCAACTCCTCGATTGCTCAGTACCATCCGGAATCCATCGATCCTCGTCAATCGTCCGAAGGATTCTCCCAGCTACATCAAATCCCATTCTACAGTTTACTTCTAGAAACCACAAAGCCTTATATCTGTAATGTGATGCCGGTTCCAGCAGTTTACTCACTGCTTGTTGCTCAGAAAATCGTTATTGAAGAGGATTGGACACTTTTGATTGTTGACGATTTTCTGGAGCTGAAATTCCGAAAATCCGAAGATTGTAGATCGGTGATTTTGGATGCGAAGGAGATTCGATACGAGTTGACAAAGGGTCTCGCAGCGAAATTGGTTGGAGAGGAAGGATTCAGTAGTCGACGTCTGACGAAGTATATCGAGCTTCTGAATCAATCGATTGTGGAAAAAGGAATTGAACTGGCAGTCAAAAGGAATATTCATCCACCGAAAGTTCTGACAGGGATTGGGATTCATTCTCCAGATGGTGGTGTGGATAAAGAAGAAGACGTGGATGAGCTTGTACAAAAGTATGATAAGGATGCTTCTAAGGATCCAGAAGGATCAGAGGACGATGAAGATCAGAAAGTGATGGATGAGTTGAGAGCTGATGTGATGTGCCCACCGACTAGGGATATGGTGGAGGATGCCGAGAAAGCGGAGAAGAAAAAGAAGGAGGTACCCAAGGAGTCATACTATGAGACGCTGTTGAAAAGGCAAAAAGAGAAAGAGGAGGATGATAAGGATAAGAAAGATCAGAAGAAGCCGAAGCTGGAGCCAGTGGATGTCAAAGAGGAATAGATCATAATTTATTGACTTTTTTGTTTCCAAATAAACATTTAACACAAATCACTTTTTATCCGGAGCCTCCCAAATGCGGCCCATTTCAATTGTCACAAAATTTGTGTCCTTGAGATCTTCGCGAGCGTCCATTAGCTCTTTCAGCTTGTCACGTGGCTCCAGATAGTACTGAAAATTTGAAATGATCGATTTTCAGTGCGCTCCAACAATGTACGGACCGGAATTTCGAAAATTCCGAAGCTTTTTCGGAGTTAGAGCTTTTTTGAATTACGGTATTTTAAAGGCGCACGACGAAAAGTTTGCTTGTGGGTCTCGAGCGGAATTGCTTAAAAAATTTTTTTCGTTCTCCAATTTTCTTTTGTCAATTTTTCGAGCTTTTGTGATGGAAAAGTGGAAAATTTTATCGTAAAACTGGAATGTTCAAAAAATTCAACAATTTTTAAATATCGGAATATTCCGAAATTCCGGAATTTTTAAAAATTGGAATTTTCTGTGATTCCGAAATTTCTAAGTTTTTCGAAATCCGAATTTTCCGAAATTCCATTTTTTTTAAATCTGAGTTTTCCGAATATGTTCCGAAATTTCGAAAAGTTTAAAATCGGAAATTCTGAAATTCCGAAAACTTAAACATCGAAAATTAGGAATTTTCCGAAATTCCAAAACTTTACAGATTAATTTTTTTTAGAAATTCCAAAAATCGAAAATTGGGATATTCAGAAAATTTTTGGAAGGGCCATTCCAAACATTCCTGTTGCTCTCATCATGCAGAAAATTTGGATTTTCATCCATTTTTCAGTATTTTTCAATTGAAAAACAGTTCTCTCTCTCACCTCATACGATCCCATATGATACGTTCCCCAATGAATACCAATACTATTCTTCGATCGGATCATTTCATGAACTCCGATCGCTTCTTCCGGATTAATATGCTGTGATTTCATGAACCATCTCGGCTCATACGCTCCAATCGGAATAGCTGCCAAATCGAATGGCCCGAGCTTCTTTCCAAACTTTTTGAATTCCGAATCACAATTTCCGGTGTCTCCAGAATAGTAGAATCGCCGATTCTCACCAATTACTGCCCACCCGGACCAGAGTCTTCTGTTACGGTCGAATGGTCCACGCTGGCCCCAGTGCTGTGCTGGCAAACACCAAATCTGGAATTCCTTTCCGTTCTTCTCGAATGTTCCATGTTCTCCCCAATTGAGTTCAGTGACCGATGAGGATCCGTCGATTCCGATGCCCTGTCCTTCCATTCAACTTTTCATTCCCATTGGAACAAACCAATAGATTCCAGGATTCATACTACAAACAAAATGATCATATACCTTCAAAAAAAGGAATTCTTACTCTGTGATCTTCTTCACTGCTTCTGCATCCAAATGATCGTAATGATCATGGGAGACCACTGCGAAATCTAACTCTGGCAGATCCTCTAATTCCATTGGAGGTGGTCGATATCTCTTTGGACCAGCAAAACTGGTGAATGATGCTCGTTCCGCCCACACTGGATCCGTGATAAACTTGACGCCTTCTAGACTGACCAGTACTGTAGCATGTCCGAGCCACGTGGCAAACAGATCGGAATTACTTTGGAAGTCTGAGGCGGTGATGTTGTGGACCGGAATTTCAACATCAAGAATTCGCTGGTCAGTGGGGACGTTTTCCAAGTTGGTTTCTTTGAAAAGGAGTTTTGGAATTTGGAAGAAACCTGGAATTCCACCCCAGTTTTTGAAGGATGGAGGGTTAGCGAATCTGCAAGGATTTCGGTACTGTTTTTTCAAAATTATTAATGTTACATGAGCTCAAAGTTGCAAGTCAGGGCTTGCCTTCTATTGGAATGTTTATGGTATTTTTAGTTCAAAATATCCATCTTTGGGTGTCTAAAGACTATAGTAGAATTTGCTGGATGAGTCTAAACATTTTAGAGTGTATTAAACAAAACCAGAAATTCAATCTTGTAGTTAACAATTTTTTTTGGGAAAATTCGTCCGAAAGCTTGAAACCTTGAAACCAACCAAGTGACAAAACTTGAAGCTATAGCACTGATACGATTTCAAGCGATATATCTAACTTGGATGAAATTATTCAAAAAAGTTTGCAACTACAAAATCGAAGCCCTATTTTTGTTTAATAAGCCTGGAAATTTTCAGCCTTATCCAACAAAATCTACAGTAGCTTTCCGAAATTCAAAGTGGACTCGCTCTAACAGGAGCTAACTCATTACGTGCACTTCGAACTTAATTATCTCAGTTCCTCTGACTAGGGAACTGTCTGGAGTCGTCTCCAAGTTACACTTCATGACTTATATCATTAGAAAGCCCGTAAAATTCTGGTTCGGAATATGTTTTCTGTTTTTGCGAAACGGCGGGAGCTTCGAGAAAATTAGGTCACAAGAAAATTTAGTGCTAGTTACACCTGTTGATTTTGCATTGAAAATCGA